TGATTTTCTCCTCTGTCCCAATAAAACTTGCTTTCACAGCAGCTTCACTGTGTGATTTCACTTTGGTGAAAACGTCTGCTGTGATGTCAGATTCCTCTTCAACTCCTCTACCTTCTGTAGCTTCTGCTCTGCATTCACGTGCTGTAATGTGATGGATGACACTATGCACCATGGTAGCTTAGTACTGACCACATTCAGAAACATGACATCAGTGCTTGTAGGTTAGCTCAGCGGTACAGCTGTGTGGGTCTGATTATTGAAGTGTATTCCCTATAATCCACATCCATTAGGCCTGTAATTATAACTTATCACTCATGGCGAATGCCAGACTCATCTTTTGGTTTTGTGGTTAGGGTTTATTATTTGAGGGGAAGTTATATTACATCAAAGCAGGGATTGGGTGGTTGCGTCACCACTCTGCCATGCATGAGAAGATGTTTACTGCTACGGTACTGAAATGAGATGTAATTATGAGGATGATTTGTGATTTATGATATTTGTGTCTGTGAATATGCTTCCAGTGCATCCATTGCTGATCTGATCAGCAGCCTCAACTTAACAGGCGACAGTGTTCTCACTTTTGAAAGTCAGCTATCTTTTGCCTATTTGCAAATGTCCCCCACCTCTTTTGAGGTCATGGTGGGTGATGAAGTGTGGTGTAGTCAAGGCTGTTTGGCCCAGACACTGTTATGCTGTCAGGGTTGTGTGGCTGATCCTGTATGATCCATAGAGCATTTGAGTTGATTTATGGAACAGGCTGCACTACCTGGCACAGTAGACAGCCAGTGTTTACATTATGTCATTGCCATGTTGTTCATAATACAAAGTACCAACAGCAGTGAATTGTTAAAGCTGATTAGCTCAGTTGTTTACAATGTGTTGTTAGTAATGCCAAGGATGGGGGTTTGATTTCTCCATGGGCCACAAATCTTCTATAACCAATGGTCTGCAATGCCTATAAGAATCTGAATACAGCTCAAGCAGTATGTAATGATCTAATAGTTAAACAAGCTTTGCTTATTGTTACACATTAGCTACACAAGTTCTTTACAGCAGTGCTATAATTTTTCAGTTTTTTACTGCCAGTTATAAAGAGACTAGAATGAGGTACCTTGTACCTTTTTCCTTTTCATTATGCCACAGTGCACTGGCATGTCCTCCCCTGAACCTCCCTGCAAATGCATAATAGCACTTTGTTAAGCTTGTCAGTCCCCTATATGTAGGCCTGGGATCTGCTGTTTTTGGTCAACGCCTGATTACTGGCAGGAGGAGAAGATTGTGACACACTGCTCAATAAAACAGGCAGCAAGAGAACTGCACAGCCAAAGACAGTCACAGAGGACTACCAGTCTCTTTCACTCACAACAACACCCTCTCCTCCAGGCTTTTGTTTATGTTTGTGGAATGCCACTTGTCATTAAGCATGCTCCAGAAAACTCTACAGAATAATGCAAACCCAGTACCAGACCAATTTATTAGTTTAGTTTAGTTTGTGTGTGTGTGTGTGTGTGTAGAATAGCCTTGGCAAGACAGTTAATTTTTGACACATCATTGGTTGCCACAGCCAGAAAAATGAGTTTCATACAGATGAGAAAAAATATCAAAACCTTGGAAACTGAGGTGGAATTACAAGAAATCTGTGATTTAAAAAGTATCTTCCTTCCAGTTATCATATGCTGTCTTTGTCTACGAGTTCCGTCGTTCCTTACTTTCTTCTATTTAGATGACATGTCATTTGTGCATTACTATGAATTTAAAGAAATATCATGTTGCTGAAAAAGAGCCACCATTCTCTCTCAGTGCATCCTTGATTTAAAAGGTTTATATAATAGAAGAAGAGAATACTTTAAAAAAAAAAAAAAACTTGTTTAATTTAGTACATACAGTGGTATAATTTTGAAATGGAGAAATCGCAAAGGTCCTTGTAATTGACATTTAAAGTGCAGTTCTCTTGACAATGTATTTCTTTATGACTGAACATAGTATAGGTGGCAACCTATTCTGCACACTATGGACTATGTTGACAGTATCAATGGTACATACATATTGTCAGCATGTTCTTTTGGTCCTTACCATTGTCTGCTCTTTAACATAGGTTATTAGGAATACACAGGTGAGCAAATTGTCTGCATTACTCCAGGAGGCCAGATGGCTGTTTTCCTGTCTGCAGAACACAGCTCAGCCTTCCCAGCGTGTAATGACATGCTCAGCTGAGTCTGTCATTAACTGTATGGCTGATTTTAACTCTCTGATGTGTTCAGCCCTGTCCTTGATCACTGCGCTCAGATTAGACTGAACCTTTTTATGAAACACTGAGCATATTAGTTGAGCAATTTCAAGCAAATTATAAGGAATGTTTTCTTGCCATATCTGTGAGGGTCCATAAACTACATGTACACTCCTGCTTTCTATTGTTGCACAGTGTAAATGTGTCACAGATGGGTTACTGACAAATGTAGGGAGTGCTTTTGTTGGGCGAAAGGTGCATTTAGTTTTCTCCAAGAAGCAAGTACAAAAGACAAAACTCCCAGCATTTGCAGACTGGTTTTAAAGCAGAAGTGGCTTATGTGTTCTGTGTGTCTAAATCAAGAGGGGCACACCTGAAAATTTGATTCCTTTACCCTTCATTCCTTCCTTTCCTTCTGTCCTAGACTCTGAATGATGCATTTCAAGTGAGAAATGAGTCACCCTAGAAGCTCCTGTCAGAGCTGGGATATTACAAGTTCTCACTCCAAAATGTACAAGTCTATTTACAGCTACCTTTGTCATGTAACTTCCTGTTTCATACAGTACATCATAGGCTGTCCCTTCTTTATCTTAAAGAAGTTCTTATATGTAACATTGTAGCCGCCCCCATTCATCTCTTGTCTCTTGTCCAGGCTATTTCTCCTCAGGCTACATAAACTATACCTGTCACTGTTAGCATTAGCATTATCTGTCAAGCACACTGTATTGAGCTGGCACTGACCCTGTGTGTTCACATCCACGGTTCTGGCTTTGTGCCCTGTGAATTGGGTGGAGGACAGAGAAGCAAAGGATTTCACATTATTTGTAGACAAAACCAGCTTTGAGACGCACAATGAGTTATCTTTTGTTTGCTACAATACTGTGGTGTACATTAGCCAGATGTAGACTATTGTGGCTTGCACTGAACTACAGATATTATATGGATAGAATATGGGGCATATATACCACAGCAAGTGCAGCTTTATGCTACAGCATGATGTCATGACAGTGTCATCTGTTCTTGTGGATACTGGCAAGGTGAAGAATTCTAGGGGAGGGCAATGACAGAAACTGTCACATCTGCATACAAATTGTACAGCAGCAAATAAAGGCTGTGCTGCTGAGGAATGCTATGTTTCTCATGCCCATGCAGGTCCAAAGGTCTTTCTTGCCTCAGCATGCTTCATGACGTTGGCCAAAATGTGTTGCTATTAAAATGTCACATTGACCTCTGCACCCTGAGTGCTTATACTAAATACTTATTGTTATGCTCTTTTTGTACTAATGTAAAGAGTCAGGTCTGCTAGAATATTGCAACCCAAGGGATCCTTAAGACATCATAATGTTCTTGGGTCTTGGTTTACATAAAATCTTTGATAATCAAGCATTTTTCTTGGGCTTTAACACAACACCTAGATACAGCAGTTGTCTTTAGCTTTGTTTTCTTGTTTAATTAAAGTATTCAAAGTTAATAGGGCTGCAGATGATGATTATTTTCACTACTGACTTAAGCATAAATGTGTTCAATATAATTTCCCACATTCCAAGTTAATGTCTTTATATATCTTGTTTTTTTTTTGGCCAGTAGCACATTTGAGAAGCTGGAACCAGCAAATATTTTGTATTGCAGGAAATTACAAAAAACAAAAATTCATTATCAAACTACAATTAATTTTCTATAATTGATGATTAGAAATGTAACTACTTGTGACTTGTGTGAAACCATGTTTTATTAATTTCTAGTAAATTTTCTAGTGTAGATAGACCACAGCTGAGCAAACTAATAGAGGGCTGGATGTTTTCTATGGACTCACTTTAAAATAATTAGCACTAGGGATGGGGATTTACAGCTAAAATACTATTTGATATTCACTGGGAACTATTCGACACTTATTCAGAAAAGAAGAATGCTGATCAGTGGACTGTACCCCATGTTCTGCTGGATGCCCCACCTTCAAATGGCTGTGCATAGTTGTTGTCGAATTATGATATGCTAAATTAACCTGGCAGAGTTTGCACTGCACCTCATTTTTGTTTATTTTCTTGAAGACGTTCCACACAAACCTTTTGATGGCTGTAGTCACTGCATGTTTCTACTGTTTGTATTTGGTGCTGTAGTAAAATGATATACTGACTGCATTATCACATTATTTCCAGGCACTGATAAAAGCAAGATAAAACAGTGGCTCTTTGTTTTTGAAAGACAAAACCATAGTCACATGAAATATTTGATTTTTTTTTTTTATGTAATGACAGTTTGGATATTGGAAAATCGTTTCCCATCTCTAATTAGCACCTGAAGCTACAGAAACTCCTCATTACTCTTCTTTTCTCAATGGCTACTCCACAGGGTTTGGCCTGTTCATTATTATGGTGGCCAAGTCCATTTATACCCATGACATGACTCACACCCACAGTTAGCGTATGAGAATGCTGTGTACACTTCAGCACACAGTAGTGTCAGCAGGCCCCAGGAGGACAATAAAAGCTTCTTTTGTTTTCATTCATTTATTTGTTTGTTAGAATTAGCTTTGGTTCCGATTCTGATGTTGACACAAAAAGATTCTAGACCGTGACCACGACACAGCCATACTCCTCTGCTGACGAAATACTGCAGTGATTAAGTAACATGAAATAACAACTGTGGTTAGGTTTTCAGATACAGAGTGGCCTAACTTGTTTAGTATGGAAACATTCTTGTTAAATTAATTTGAAAATTGTGTGTATCAGCCTACCTATGTTACCATTTCATGATGTTTGTCTTTTGCCTTTAGGAATGTGTGTCAGCATAGTTGATCCCCTGCGTGCTTCTGTCTGAAGAGTTTGAGCAGGAGAAGAGCAGCAACCATGGACATAGAAGACTTTCCTCCCCCACCTCCTGAAAGTAAAGTCAGCAAAGCTTTGCCACTCACACATGCATGAACTTGAGAGACAGGATTTCCTATATTTGGCAGCACAGGTTGGTTAGCCCAGTTGGTTGGAGTGTGGTGCGAATAACACTGAGGTTGTGGGTCCGGTCCTTGTATGTGCCATAGTTTTTGAGTTTGTTCTTTAACAGCCCTTTTCATTTAATAGCACCTCACTTACCACTACCTAAAGCAAAACAAAGCAGTGAAATGGGTATACATAAAAGTACATACAAATATTTAGTCTTAAGTGTTTATGTCATGATTCAACTTATTAGTTGCAGCCCTGACACAAAATTTTAATTTGAGTTCACAGCTGAGTTTCAAAACATCAGCAGAGAACTGATAGATGATTTTGAGATGCTGTTGGGCTAAACCCCAAACAGTTATGAGTTTGGTTGTCTGTCAGTCATCTTGTGCTGGGATCACTTCCTGGAAGGCTGCTGAAGCAGGACAGTAGGAGTAAACAACACAGATTCCTCTGCTCTGCTCCTCTGCTGCTGTGGAGTGTGGGCAGAGAAACGAGGGAGTAAAGGAGGGTGAAATGTTCTGTGCTGCTGTGAATACCAGACAATGTGCCTCAGTGTTAGTCTGAATACTGCTGCAACTGCAGACACACACATATTCAGACGCAAATACACACACACAGCCTCCGGGGATAGACACAGGCCAGAGAAATGCTTCGTCTGCAACTGGCCAGTCACTTGCTTTGTTGCCAGGGCAATGCTGAACTGGATCGTGACTCATTGTTGACTCATCTGAGCAGACCTTTATGTAGCAGAGTGGGGATAGGCCCCCAGAACAGAATGAATATTGTCATTCTGAATTAATAATAAACATCTCAGATAGGCCATGATTGTGTCAGTGTGTGTATTTCTCCACAATCTTCTAATCAGAATCAGCTTTGTTGGCCAAGTATGTTGAACACACAAGGAATTTGACTCCAGAACAGTGGCTCCCCATGTGCTTTCATAAGGCAACAATAAAAAATTTACGTGTACTCAAAATAGGGATAGAAAAGAAAAAAGGAAAATAGGAAGAGACACAATTTATGTGAAAAATGAGCTTTCACATAGATATATACAGTGGTTATATAAAAGCTATTGCCCTGAGGGCTGTTGTCCTGTTATATGGACATGGATTAACTGTTCATGAGAGTGAAACTGTTATTGTTAGAGATGCCCCGGTCGATCAGTTTTCTGTGTGATCGGCCTTGACCGGTGATTGACCGATCACTCTGAGATTTCAGATTCTGGGCACAACAGTCCAGACCTGAGCTTCAAAACTGCTCTTCTAAAAACCAATGGGTGGCATCAAGGTGTATTTGTCCATCTTTTATGTATAGTCAATGAGTGGCACAGACCGAATGTGTACCACATAAAGCATGTAGCATCTCGCATGCACCTTGAGTGAAGCTCATGCTCATTTCTGTACCCGGTACATGTTCACTGGCGCCTTGGAAGCACTTGATGTACAAACAGCACACAGAGGAGCCTACAGAAGGGAAGGGAAAACAACGTCCGAATAGTACATGATGTGGGAATTACTGGCTACACATCAGATGTGTGTATGTGTTTACAGTGTATCCGCCCCATGGTAAAACAGCAAATACAAACTGCACACACTTAAAAAAACTGTGTGCTCAGTAGTAACAGACATTTTTTGTTTTCTATTATCTGTTGCCCGTTTATATTTAACTTTAATACAGTGTTTTATTTTTATTATAATTGATTTTTTTGTTAAAGAAAGCTTACAAAAAATCTGTGTATCCTGTCAATTACAGTTCTTAGAAAGAAAATTGGAATCTGCCAAAATCAGAATTGGCAGGTTAGACTTAAAAAAAAATCTGAAATTGGAATCGGCCAAGAAAATTGCAATTGGTGTATCTCTAGTTCTTGTGTCTGGTTATTTTGGCGTACAGTGACCTGTAGTGCCGCCCAGAGGGGAGGAGTTTGAACAGTTTGTATCCAGGATGTGAGGGGTCTGGAGAAATCTTTTCTGCCCCCCTATTTACCTGTGAGGTGTACAGGATGTGCAGAGAACAGGCTTAGCGACTTCTCTGTAGAGCTGGATCAGCAACTCCTGGGGCAGGTTGAAATTCCTGAGCTGTCCTTCTTGGTGATGGTGCTGATGTTGTATGTCCACTTTAGGTCCTGGGAGATAGTAGAGCCTAGGAACTGTGTTCTATTTAATACAGCCTGTGTAATATTAATGTAAATGTGAATGAGACTGAATTAATTCATGACAAATAAAGAAATGAAAAGTAGGCTTATATGGCTCTAGGTTGGTATAGGCTGATGGAAAAAATGACAGGACAGTTCCTTGAATTTGGCATTTTAAATAATTAGCTAAAATTAAAATTGAGCATTAGAAGGTTAAACTTTGTTTTATCATTGCAAGCACAATCTTTATGTATTCCACATAGCTAATGTAATTAATGTGATTATCATGTCAGCTACAGATTTTGGTGTCTGCAATATAAGCTATGACAGTACTTCCACCATTTTTATAAAATGCCCTATAAATAAATTCATCAAACCTCTAACAACAATATGAACAGCAGTCTTCATAATGACTATCACATTTTACAGATTATCTGTAAAACAATGCATTGGTTTCTGATCAGAGTGACTGCTGACAGAACAAATAAGGCACCAGGTGTAATCAAGCCTGGCTGTTAGCCTGGTCTGGCAGGCTTGCTGCAAAGAATAAATCTCCATGGTAACTTATGTGCCAGTGCTTTTGTGAAATCGAATTATGGCTAAATTCATCCAGGATAACTGGAAAATCCGGCTCAATCCACTATCTAGGTTTTGGAAAATAGCTGTCTGGTTGTTGTGACTGCACCACAGGGCCAGCTGTCCCACTGCCTGTCTGTGTGCAGACTTGTCACCATCTCGTATGAGACCAGTGACTGCTGTGTCACCTGTGAACTTCAGGAGTTTAACAGAGGGGTCCCCTGAGGTGCAGTTGTTGTCGGAGGGGGAGAAGAGCAGCAGGGACAGCACACATCACTTGGGGGTGCCTATGCTGACTGACCAGGTGCTGGATGTTGTTTTCCCTAGCCTCACTTGCTGCTTCCTGTCTGGCACAAAGCTGGTGATCCACTGACAGGCATGGGCCGGCACAGTGATCTGATGGGTTCTAATTTACAAGGATAGAAAGATTAGAGCAATCCTTCAAAAATAAGACAGTTTTGTTCCAATGTCAGGACTTAAGAAGGAATGGAGTTCATAAGTATGGGAAGATCCTCATATGTGGAACAATTGTGTTCATGTGTTCTCACAATGTAAGGTCAACGCCTAGCACAGTCTCTATAATTAGGCTGCAGGCATGCATACACACACATAGCTAGCTATCAGTGGCCTCATCCACCCATAGCTGCAGGTCATCTGGTGAAATCCAGTCAAATCAAGTCCCACTCTCTTCTTGCACAGACAAGTGTTTCGCATTGACACCACAAAGAGGAGAGCTGGGTGCATAAGAGGGCAAGTATTGCTTATAATATACATTCCACAGTCCTGGTGTAGTACAGATGACTAGCTAGCAGTGCCTTATCTCTGTATCCCACAGCATTCATTATTGCACAGATGGAAAAAAAGAGATAGCATCTGTGTTTCCAGGTTTGCTCTTTGCACCTCTCTTGAACATGGCTGCAGATGGACATGTGGTCACAATGTTGATCTGGGACGTTAGTTAAAGGCTGTTGCCTCACTCATGGCTATAGGGTGGAATAGCTACCTATCAAAGCCTGAGGGAATCATACTGGTGATTTAGAGTAGACACTGCTGTGAGTGACCTCAGAGTAATTGATTTTTGCTACAGGCAGTTTTTTTGAGTTCATATTTACTTAGTTACTATCAGTGGACCTCTCAGGCCTGGAGGCATAACACAGCAAGAGTGAGCATAATTTATATTGTGTGTAAAGAAAAACCTTATCAGCTAGCCTTTAAAGGACTCCGTAAATGCCTGGGTAGACTGGATGGGGTAGAAATATGCTGAAAATGAAGCATTAGAATATTGATATATGCCAAAAGTAAAAGTAGTAGCCTTGATGTTATTGGAAAAAGTTGAGCAGGATTTACTCACCTATTCAGTTGCAGTAAAGAAACAGCAGGGGAAAATGCCAAAACCCAGGATCAAACCAGGGATCTTCAGATTTTCAGTCTAACACTCACCTAACTGTCAGCATCTGACCCTCATACCTTTGAATGTTCCCTTTTCCGTGAATGATATGAGTGCAGGACTTTGGACTGTAAGCTAATACAGTCAAGCTGTGACTACTGGTGAAAGTGATCCCAAAGAATTTTTGGCATGCTTCTGAGATAGGACATCACCCTCAGATGTTAAGGAAACCTCCCTATAGGAAAATCAGCAACACTTTAGAAACACTGGAAGGATGAATAGTGAGAGTAGGAGTCCCTTCAATAGGGGTTATGCGGAACATCACGTGACCAAACCGGAAAACGGATCAGCGCACTTCCCGCAGAACGCGGGTGACACAACAGTAGTAATGCGAAACACGTTCTTTGAGCTCGTTTTATTTGATTAGTTCATAGATAAAAAACAAAAATGTCTTTTTCAAGACACATACCAGAAGTGGGATCATCCAAACAGTGATTTCTGCTGCGTAGCTCAATGCGCGATGTCAGGGAGGTTCAATTCAGCCATAAGCTTTCACCATTTCCCTAAGGATGAAACCTTAAGAAAAACATGGATCCGTAATGTACAACGTGATACTCTTGTAATTAAGAGGACGACAACAGTATGTAGTAGACACTTCGTCTCCACAGATGTAATTCAAGGTGGATGACGGCGTTTGAAAGAAGGAGCCATTCCAGTGTTGTTTGCCTGGAATGACTACTCTCTGTCTGCAAGTAGACCAAGCGTGTGGGAGAGAACGCAACGGCCGGAGGAAATTGAGGAGGAACAGATGGACGTCGGATTTCTGCTTCAGTGTCATGACCATGCTAGACCAGAACCATCAGCCTTGGACATGGCATGTG